GGGGGGGGGGGGGGGGGGGGGCGTACTCATTTGTTGCTTGCCGTAGTCAATTGACCATTGACCACGCGTCCCTTTCGAGACGGAGCACCGTTCCTACACCTACTAGAGACACCACCAACATTTGGGAGCTCTTTACGTTTCTGCCACAAACTCCATAAAAATTTCTTGCACATCTTATCCCCGTCCTCTAGGGCCTCTTGTGCCCACCATCTATCCCCAATTATCGCGATCGTTTTTTCGCTGTTCTCTAATTTACCAAACTTGTCCATGTCACACCCTCTCTGTCTCATTTCCTCCTCGAGATCCTCTCTTTCCTTCCTGTACATGACAATAGCGTGCTCACAATCTCTAATGACCTTCCCCGCTCACGACCGACGCACAAACCCGTAGGATGCATAAGATATCATCCCATGGACCGAATTTCAAAGCTCGACCACTTCACGACGAAGGGGATGCTAAAGCAGTCAAATGGTGCACACATTCGGAAAGCTCTCGACAAGGCAATTCCAACGTCACCATTTTCGACCCCGTCGCCGATTCTGCTGCAGAGCAATCACGCTCTGAAGAAATCGGTCGGTCCAGGGGGGGGGTGGTATCTTATGCAACCGACCGTACAAGTGCCGGCCCGCTCACAAGAAACACCTTTTGAGCGACGCTCAAACCCATACTTTGTCCCCACCACCAAGCAAAGGACTATATTGGAATCGATGTAGCGCCTATATTTTGTACCCACCACTGAGCACAGGTTACTAGAATAAGGAATTGATGTTTCTGTAGCGCCGGTCGCTATGCTCAATTTCTTGAGCCATTTTTCTAAAGTATGTCCAAAATCTGAGTTTTCTTAAGTATGCCCAAAATCTGAGCCTCGGTTTCTGACGAACACACTTCTGACAAGCGGGCCGGCGCGGCATGTGCATGTTCCGCTTGCCGTGTGATGTGGCGGCTGTATGCATCAGTCGACTGCGTTTGTTTGCGTTGCAAGTGAACTAACCCCCAGCCTCGAAAATAAAATTATGCTACCATACATACTCTGGAACGGATGCAAACGTTGGCGTCGACCGATAGTTCATCACTCCATCGCAAAAGACAATTTAAAGAAACCAAGAGCGTCTCGCGAGATCAAACCACGTCGAATCTTAAGATGGAAACAAGGAAGAAGCCGGTGGCCACTGCCTGTTCGAGCATTTACACCCAAGACCAATGCTGTTGTTGTTGTGTATGGAGTGATAGGACACTGATCAGAAATATTTCCACGACATTCAGTGATTCGAAGCGAGAGCTGTGTGTCACGGGTGCCTCGTTCGTGTACGAAGCAGCCACACAAATACGTTACTCATGTACGCATATGCATATGGGCCGCGATCAAGGCGATGTCCTACCCAGCTGCCAACTGAGTGGTTGAGAGTTTCCCGCTTTTCCTTCGACGCTGTAACCTGCCGGGTGGCATTTGTACACCAGTTCCGCCCTTCAACCGTTTTTTGGCGAGGAGAAACAATTCGATTCAACTCCCTACACAGAACGTTTCATGGATTCCACTTACTTCTTTAGCATAACCGAACGCCAACTACTTGTGTGCAACTGGGAATCCGTAGACGTATGCATAGATTCATGTGCTACAAGCAACTACCACGCGTAAGCCTTAAAAAAATAAGAAATGCGGAAACACCACCCGCTCACGATGGGCTTGTAATCGCCAACAAAGGAAAGGGTCATGCATGTATGACACGCATGCCTGTACGATCGTACTCATGCATGTGCAATGTGCATCCAAAAACGCAGAGGAGATGTATCGCTGTGTGCTGCTGAGAAATAATGGAACTACAGGTAGCCTCCGCTGACGCTATGGATTCATCGCTAATCTATGTATCTTAGACTCTTTTCTATAAGAACAGGTATACATCGTGTTGGCTGGTCGTTAGCGGTGGAGGCGGTTCGGCTGTTCTTTTCTCTTCTCTTTCCAGGCGGCTGTTCGACTTGGAGAGTCTTTCATGTTCTTTGAAGCAGCTGTAACATTATTTTATTTCTCTAGCACAGCAAGCAGTAGCGGGTAGAACAGCGAAGAACACCTTGCTCGGTCACAGGTTTCCGTACAACAGCAGTTTCGAAAACGCACACGTCTGTACTCCGTGGTTGTGCATGCTGGAGAAACACAACAAACACGCCCGCCCGCGAGAAAGGTCTGAACCGCTTAGTAAAGCGGGTAGTAGGTCATTCACGCACTGTAGCAATCTAAGAGGTGGGACGCCGTTGTTGTGGCTCGAAGCGCGGCTGATTGATGGTGCGAGGTTAGCTGTCTGTCGGTCGGTCCCATTTGCCCTCTCTCTTCAACTCAGAACAACACCCGCCCGCCGCCTGTTTGTTGGTTTTCTTTTTTCTACTGCTGTCATCGACTCCCACGTTTGTGCCGCTGTGCTGCTGCTGCTGTTTTATTCTGCTGCTCGGGTCTTAGCGTCTTGGCTGCTCATGTTGCATTATTACACCTCCTCCGTGGCTCTCACCCTTCGTGAGGCACAGGCAAACAAAGCTGTGGTACATTGGTGCTGTAGCTAAAAACGGCACCCACGACCAGCAGCAGCACAGCATGCACAAAGTCGGAACGTTGAACATAGAACGACACTGTATGAACCTAGGACCATTGTTGTTGTTGTTGTTGTTGTTGTCTTCACATTAAGGGCCGGTCTTAACGCAGGAATCAGATGTCGAAATCACGTTCAGATTTGGTTTCAAGACCGGAAGATCCAAAGAACTCTGTTATTGATTGGGCACAAAGTTCTTCCGCCGGTCTCCGCTTTAGGACTTAAAACACGACGACCCAAAACCAAATCGGGATCTGAAAAAAGGTGAAATCATTTAATCAGATCCCGATGTGGGTGAACCGCAACCATAGTTGCGGGACTACGGTCTACTCGCATGCACGGCGCGTGTCCACCTAGCCCCATCCACACGACCTCCATCCACCGCCGTGCACAGAGGAGAGAGAGAGAGCATATAAAGCCAACCCAAAGGGAGGGTGACTGCGCATCGTTGTTGCACGTGCCTGGCGCCGAAAAAAAACGTGTGTGGGGTGTGTTGGTCTGTGGGGCAATGTTCCGTGGGTTGTCGAACATCAAATGCACAGATGAATTGGTGGCTTTCCGTCGGACGAGGCTCGATTCCAAGGCTCACATGCATAGACATCGTGTCAGTACCGCACAGAGGCCATGTACGCGTTGGTGTGTGCCTCTCGGGAGCGATAGCTCCCCATGTGGTGTGGCCACGTCACAACAGCACGTCACAACAGCAATCTGGTAGTTGGCACGCGGCGGACCTCTCGGGTTGTTCGCGGTGGACTGCAGAGACTCATTTCCACTTGGCAGATCTGCCGTAACGACACACAGGCCATTTCCGTCCGGATTTGGGTAGATCCGACTCTTTTATTCTTATATCGAAATGTGATTTCGAGATCTGATTTCTTCGTTTAGACCTACCCTAAACTCGTGTCAGTTGCTAATCCCAAAATCTAGCAGAGGCGCGGTCCGTAGTCACAAAAAATGCTAGAGCCATCAGAAGATCCAAAGAACACGCAAACTAGCAAGAAAAGGGTACACAAGCCAGAAGAGGTACACCTACATCCCTGCAGCACGTTTGCGTGCCCAAAAACTGAAGTACCCGTCCACACACTACATTCGACTACAGTACTGTATACAGCAGCATCACCCCCCCTGTCCTACACTCTACCAAAATGAATGAATGTCGACTACAGCGTACAGCTGTCTGGAGTGCTGCCTGTACAATAACACCATGGTAGGCATGGTACAACATTGGGGCGCGCAACTGCTGTCTGAAGAACTGTCAGAATGCGTCCGGGGACATACAGTGAAAAAGAACAACCAATCAAAGGCATCATTGCAATTGACGATCATCGGATCTACCCCTGATCATCTGTGCTGGACACAGCAGTGTAAATAATCGACACTGATTAGGAATCGTTCCACATTGAAGGGGTCTTCCACGATGCAGGTACACAATAAAGGCACCCGGGCTATCCGCGCCATCTCTGCCGCGTCTCTCTACAAAACCAGTGACGTCATCACATACACACCAATGTTGAGGAAAAAAACGGAAAATATTTGACAACACAAAATGTTCGTCCGTGCGTCACGGTTCGATGTCGTCCGTGTGCTCCGGCGCCGCTGCTCGATGCCGCTGCTCCGTTGCTGCTGCTCCGGCGCCACTGCTCCGGTGTCGCTGCGGCCA